GCAGTGGGATACCACAACTGATCTGGTAACTGAGAGCTACTGCATGACTCGCAGGTGGGTGGTGTAAACAGTGCGGATCTGCTGGATGAAGGGAGAGATCACGTCACAGGCAGGACGGAAAGGGATGGCATGAGATTTCATCACACCTCTCAGAACAGCGTGCAGTTTTATACATTTGACTTGTTTATTTCTGGAATTTTCCATCGCATATTTTCAGATGGCAGTTGACGGTAAATAACTGAAACCATGGCAAGTGAAACCATAGCTAAGGTGGAATACTTAGCAGAAAGCAGGTGATTTAGACACCAGCTGACTTCAGGCTTGAACAATCAGCAGAATTTTAGAGATTTGAACAATGTGGATTATCATCTGAGGGATCAACTAGACATTCATTATCTAACTTTGACTGTAAGAGTGACCACTGTGCAAACTAAACCATTCTTTTCCGCTTTGGCCATAACAATAAGATTGTTGTTGTTGTTGTTGTTAATTCTCACCTCAAAATTAATTTTTTCATTAATTTTTAGAGAGAATGGAAGGGAGTGGGGGAGACGGAAAGAGAAACATTGGCTGGTTTTTTTACAGAGAGAAAGGGAGAGAAATAGAGAGCTAGGAACATCGATGAGAGAGAAACATCGACCAGTTGCCTCTTGCACACCCCCTATTGGGATGTGCCCGCAACCAAGGTACATGCCCTTGACCGGAATCGAACCTGGGACCTTTCAGTCCACAGACCAATGCTCTATCCACTGAGCCAAACCGGTTTCGGCAAGAATAATAAGATTTTATATCTGTTTTGCTACATCTTTGTCTTACCTATTAATGGAACATTTTCATACCTTTCACATAAAAAATCAAATGTGCATCCCAAAGAATGTCTAGGTTTATAAAGGAGACATGTATGTCAAGGCATGAGTTGATAGGATCTTGGTCCCTGTATTCAATATAGAAATCAGATGAGAATTTTTAGTATACGAAGCACTCTGTGAATCTAATTTCCAAGTCTACATTGGTCTCTGCTGAAGAGTCTGCTGCAACATTCCTAGGGATTTTGGATTTTTCTACAAATTCTGTTATAAACTTGGCTCACTTAATAATATAAGAAGTTTGTTTGGGAAGTTAGTTGCTTTTATTCTTTATTTAAGGCCTGTTTCGCCAGTGGCCCATATGATCTCTTAGGACTAGTGCTTCTGGATAGGGTACCATTTATAGTAGCCATACTTAGATTGTCTCTAAACTAGATTACAAAAAAACAAACAAAAAAAAACAAACCACCAATAATAAATAAATAAATAAATAAAAAATTAGCTAGGTTACTAGTTGGAACACCCTCTGATTCCAGCTTTGACTCCTGCAATTTGTCTTGCTGACATGTTACATTCCAACACCAAATAATTTGCATCAGCTAGTAGTTTAAAACTAGATTAGAGTTACACAGAGTTCATACCACCAGACTTGTTTCTTGGCTGTGTTACTGTAGTCAAATTACTTAATCCTTCTTAGCCTGCTTCCTTATCTGTGAAACGATCCTTATCTATGATGAACCTTTGTTGGAATATTCCCTGGCTCCTGTCTCTCTGAGACTTGAGTGAGGTGCAAGTACTCTACAGCAGGGAGAGGTCCCATCCCAGTCCACCCCAGAAGGCAGTCATCTGCAGACTAGAGCTCTTGAAATCACCTATCAAATCCATGGCCATTTAAATATCCAGTAGATAGCACTCTTTCCACCATATGCCAAGATTCTGATCAATCTTGATCATTACAGCTCCCCCCACCCTCTGCCAAGAGATTCTCTGGATATGATAATGCTTACTGAGCAATCACTATGAGCCTAAGGTGTAGTTCTGCTCCCTTTACCAATATTAACCCATCTAATATCTGTAACAGCCCGTGACATAAATACTATTGTTATTCTCATTTTGCAGAGGAAAAACAAGGCGCAAAGAGGTTAAGTAGCTGATACGTCTCTTAGCACGCACTGCCACAGAGAGAGAGGTATTTACTTATTCTAGGAGGTTTTGAGGGTTAAATATGAAATTATGTAAATAAAGTGTTTCAGACAGTTCTAGGCATATAAAATCTGATCAATAAATGATAACTACTGCCGAAACCGGTTTGGCTCAATGGATAGAGCGTCGGACTGCGGACTGAAAGGTCCCGGGTTCGATTCCGGTCAAGGGCATGTACCTTGGTTGTGGGCACATCCCCAGTAGGGGGTGTGCAAGAGGCAGCTGATCGATGATTCTCTCTCATTGATGTTTCTAACTCTCTATCCCTCTCTCTTCCTCTCTATAAAAAAATCAATAAAATATATTAAAAATAAATAAATAAAAATAAAAAACAGTATTCTTTAAAAAAATAAAAAAATAAATGATAACTATTAATTACTTCAGGTACACACAGTGTACTTCCAAGGCCAGTTCAAAGTTTTCTGTGAAACCTTCCTTAGCCCTTTATCCGGAGTTCACTCCTGTGTGCTCCCACTGTAATTGTCTTCCAATTTTGAATTCTCCTTAACTATTTCCGTATACTTTTTCCATGACCTGCAGAATCTTAATATTCTGGAGTCATTCTTGCTAAGTATACTTAGGAAAAGCAGACCCTCAGGGATGGAAATGAAAAGAGAAGTAGCATTAATAGCCCAGAGAAGTACATGCGTCTGTGATGCTGTCTTGAAAGACCTAAAATAAACCAAGTCTCAAAATGTACCTTTTACAGAAGAGGATGCTAAGACGTGTCAGAGAAAAATCGAAAATAATAAAATATGCTCAGGAAGATGGATAGAAATTTGAACTGCTCACATTATTTGCTTTTTTATTAAGTATATTTAATTAAAATACTACTATAGTATGTCATTTGTAAAGCCCCTGGATAAACTTTTTAAACTCACAGGACTAAATCTTGAATGAAATTCCTCATTGAATTTAGCTAAAATTATTTTAAAGCAAATGATAAAGGAACAAAGCAAAAGAGAAGAAAAAAAAAACAAATGTCAAATTGGCGTCTATCTTTTAAACTTCTATTATCTTGTCTGTTTTGAATAACAAACCTTCAAAGCAAGCACATATAGGATATCAGTCTTTTATGTCAGTCCTATCAGAGGAAACAGCCTTACAGGTAACTAAAAGTGAATCCCCAAAATAGAAAAAAAACAAAAAACTAAAAAACAAAAAACAAACCAACCCACAATATTACCAATAATGGACACTATAAACTTCTTAAGCAGTTATTGTGCCTAATTGCAAAGCAAGAACTACTATTCTTCAAAAAAAAAAAAAATGAATTTTTAAACAATTCTACAACTCTGTTGAGATCTGTCATGGGAATTGTTTTTAATGAAAAATGATAGTTGATTTAATGCAGACTATATTCAGAATTTTGAGGCATAAGCCAAAGACTCTGAATAATGCTAACTTTGTGATACAAATTATGTTGGTTATCCACATTATTTTTTAAAATTCCAAATAAGTTATAATTCTTCTTTGCTATTCACTGATTCCGACGGGTGCTCTCAGAGGTTCTATTTGCCAGAGCTTTGTGACTCTCTGAGTTATTCCCATAACTAACCAAACGGTGTTTTACACTGAATTTTTGTATTCCTCCCAAAATCATATGCTTAAGCCCTAATCCACAGTGTGAAGGTATTAGGGATGAGGCTTTGGGACAATAATTGCCTGCTGTGTTCCTGTCTTGCATTTTTTACAGGAGGGTTTTTTAGAATGATTTTCTTTGCATCAGGTCCTTGTCAAAATTTATTTGCTGACAAAGCTGGTTTTCCTACAAACGCACAGGAACAGTTGAAATGAAAGCTGATGCAAGTCCTGCTCTGCCTAGAATACATTTTGCGTGTGCATTGTGTGTGTCGTGTGTCTCAGTTTGGGTCAGCGTCACTGACAGCTGGGCCAAGATATTTTCCTGCCTGTTAATCAGGGCCACACAGACGAAGCTCGAGGAAGGATGACCCTGCCTCAGGAAGTTTTGAATCAGCTTCTATTTATAACCCACATGCAGTAGAACTTGAGATCAGGTCTTTACTCAGTTGATAGGAAAAATCCTCTGCCAAATTTTGTATTTGAGGAAACAGTTCATGGGCTTCTATGAGTGAAGCCTCTGTGAAAGGAAGGAATGTGATAATAACTGTAAGTATTTTTGCTGATCTGGGTCAAGGGTGTGGTGACAGAGATGTGGAAATTTCTGTCAGTGACATAATAGGTTATTACATTTTAAAGCAAGAATTAGTTAATGGTACCTTGGATTATCTTTAGCACTGTGTGTATTGGATCCTCTGCTATTAATAACAATGTTGAAATAGGGGTATGTGATGGGCTAATATTATTTCTCAAAATGGATTAAGAGGAAGAAATTAGCTATTGGTGTTTTTCTAGAATAGCTGGTTCTTCCTTTGGATATATACATAAACCTTTTTCTGTGTATGTATGCTTTTTATAATACTCTGTAGGTTAAGAGAATGTTTTGTAAAGAGCTGAATTATTACAAAATAATATTGCACACTAATATATATAATCTCTTAAAAAAAAACAACAAAAAAAAAAACTCTTTCTGCCAAACTTTAGGAAATTAAATATGGCAGAACATTAAAACTGACAATTTGAGAAATACTACAACTAATATTTTAGGTATGCCTTTATGGAGTTGAATTACTTAATGAACAACAGGTATGTTTTTGTAAACTCAAAATACTTAGAGATAGGTGGGCAGTGTGTAGTGATGTTTAAAATAGTATAGCCCAGCCGGTGTGGCTCAGTGGTTGAGTATAGACCTATGAGCAAGGAGGTCACAGTTGATTCCCGGTCAAGGCAGGTTCCCAGGTTGCAGGCTTGATCTCCAGTTGGGGGGCATACGGGAGGCAGTCGATCCTTGATTCTCTCTCATCACTGATGCTTCTGTCTGTCTCTCCTTCTCCCTTCCACTCTGAATTCAATAAAAATATATTTTTAAAAAATTATAAACCTTAACATATTCTTTTCTTATTTTAACAGGATTATTCAAAATAAAGTTATAGCCATTTTCAACAAGGTTCAATGATTAAAACATCTTTATAAAGAAATTTCCAAGTTAAAGATGAAAAAAAAATACTGGAATTATTTGGATTCTAACTGACAGGATAAAGAACACAGAATTTCCCAGTTACATGCAATGGAACCTCAGTAAAATTCATCACTTTGGTATGCACCCAACTGGGAACATGGATGTTGGTTTTTCTCGTTCTGCTGTTCAGACACTGTCAAGAAGCCACTGCAAAAACATCAAACAAAAAATTTCTCAGTGGGAAGGACGGACTAATGGTTTATCTAATCCAGATAAGTGGCACCGAAAGGACCTTGGAATGAGATATAATAACTGTCACCAGGAGATTCTTCTTAAGAAGAATCGTGTTGCTGAGGGAAAGAGCAAAAGGTTGGATGTAACCAACTCTCAACATGTTGGTCTAGATATTAATGAAGATGCCAAAAGCCGGGACCAAAGTGCAGATGAAAGTGAGAAACATGAATGTGACAATACTCACTTCTTTAAAAGTGAATCAGAATCCAACTGGGTATGTTCAAGGGTCAAACAGATTGAAAGCTGGAAAGAAGTTGCTTTGGATCCAGAGACTTCGTTACCTCCAGGGAATTTCTATACCTCACAGATCCTGTGGAAGAAACTCAAGGCTCTTCCCCCGGATAAAGTCCTCAATTTGGCTCTAGAACATCGCGTCTCTTCGGAAAAGGAACTGGACTTCAGAGATCTGGAGGGTTCCTATGGAGTAACCAAGAGCTTGGAAAATATCTATTCTGAACCGGAAGCACAAGAATGTGGACCTTCTATAAATCCTTTGCCAAAACCTCGTAGGACATTCAGATATTTGTCTGAATCTGGTGTTGTGCCATGTAAAGAAAGAAACTGTGACAGAAAACACTGTGAAAATAATTCTTGTGCGGAGTCTTGTTTGGCCTCTTCTCAGGAACCTGAACCAAAGAAATACGGGGGGAAAATCAGAGGGAGATCGAAAAGGTATGTTTTCATTCGATAGGTAATGACTTGTAAGTATTTTCCTTACTGGACTCTGGAGTTCCTTTTTTCTTTTCAAACAGTTTCCATTCCTCTAATTGGATTATACAGGTGTTCATTACCCCAAGAGGAAAATACCGTACATGAGGAAATACAATAGTAGAAGCATGCCTCATAGCTAACACAGTCTTCCAACATTCCCTATCTTGAAGCAGGAGCAGGGAAGCAGGTACATGCTTCTACTGCATTTCGAGCGTGCTGGCCCCAGTCTCCCTTTTTATCAGAGATGAATTTAAGAAAGGTACCCAATGAAGAACATGAATAGAAATCGGCTGAAAGCCTCCAATTTTCTCATTGTGCAGACAGGGCATTAGCCTAGTTTACTCTTAGATACCTGAGAAAACACTGTAATTTTGCACATAAGTCCTTACGAATTTTGGTCTGTCAGAACAATTTTAAAAAAAGATTAGAGTTTTAAAAGATACAACTTGAACATACTTCTCCTTTCTTAAGGAAATCCTTTGAATTTGAAGACATTCAGCACTTCCGAAATCGGAACACACAGAAGATGCATGAAGAACTTGGAAGAAATTCTGGCTCAGCACTTTATTACACACAGTCTGAGGACAATATCTACGAGGATATCATATGTAGGTGTCCACAAACTTTGCAATTCAATTGAATGAGTACCGTATTTTTCGGACCATAAGACGCACTTTTTTCCCCCCAGAAGTGGGGGGGGGGAAAGTCCCTGCGTCTTATGGTCCAAATATAGCCTACACATATACTTTAAAAAAAAAGTTTTTTTACTTGCCCGGCTCTGTGTGGTCTCTGTGTGCTTGCCCGGCTCTAAAATGGTTCTAAATGCTGCTGTTTACTTTACAGGGTTGATTACATGTGTTTATGACTGTGATGTTGGGTTTTAATGCACATAAAATATTTTAGGACACTATTTGTTTCAGAATCTTTTTTTCTTCATTTCCCTTCTCTAAAAACTGGTGCGTCTTATGGTCCGAAAAATACGGTATGTATTTCATGGAGCCCTTAACTATAAGGATGTTGTTTTCTTTTACAATCAAGCATATCTTGATCTAGATTTATTTATATTTATATATATATATATATATATATATATATATATATATATATTATTGATATTTTACAGAGAGGAAGAGAGAGAGATAGAGAGTTAGAAACATCGATGAGAGAGAATCATCGATCAGGTGCCTCCTGCACACCCCCTCCCGAAACCAAGGTACATGCTCTTGACCGAAATTGAACCCAGGACCTTTCAGTTCGCAGGCCGACCCTCCATCCACTGAGCCAAACCGGTTTTGGCATTGCTCTAGATTTTTCTTTTTAATATGGAAACCTTTGTTGCATAAATTCTTTGATTCTTTAATGGAGTGTACAACTAGTATAGTGGACTGCTCAGTTCAGAAGTAGATGTTTATAGTACCGTATTTTGCGAATATTTTTAGCTTTTTTGGACACCTGAGTAGTTTATAAGCTTAACATGCCATTAATTTTGAGACCTCCCTCCCTCCAGCAATGGGGAATAGAAAACTGAACATACTTTTTTTAAAAACATTTATTTTCCTAGCTATAGTCACTTTGTTTTCATTTAGTTATATTCCTCTAAACTTATTTTGTTGTTGTTATTTTTCAAGATCCCACCAAAGAAAATCCATATGAAGATATTCCATTGCAGTCTTTTCCCATGTGGAGATCCCCTTCAGCATGGAAGCTTCCACCCCCTAGAAGTGCCTTCAAAACACCCAAGGTATAACCAGAGAATTAACATAAAACATTGCATCTTGATCCCTAGAAAAAGGTTGAAATGATTTAACTAAGGACAAAACTAAGAGGCATTAAAATATGCGGCTGTTTTGTAATGGTGGCTTTTTATTCTTTGTTTTGGGGGTAGCAAACAGCTTTTTATTTTCTTTGGTTGGAGGGGTTATTTGTTTGTTGTTTAGCACTTCAAAAAAAAATGAATGTAAACACCTTTGGAAAGGCCATGAACTTGGCAGTTCACTATAGTTAGTTACCATAGCTCCTTAATAGTCACAGGAAGTCTGGTCCCTGAAAACCTTCACCACTCCTGGAAGCAAAGGCTGCCTTGAGTCAGTGAGGACTCTGAGCCATGGTTTTCTGGAAATTTGATTACATTGTAGTAGAAGAACTTTGGGTTAGAAGCTTGATAAAAGAGAAATTACAGTATCCTCATGTAAGATGATTTTTTTAAAAAGACCAATATTTTTCATGGATAGCTTTGAATTTTAGAACACAGGCATTAACTAGGTGATCTTACCCTTACCACGCCACTCCTTCTCCCGGGTTAGCTTCCTCCCAAACCTCACTTCCTTCAGCGGAAGACCATGGAACTGAAGAACTCGCAAGCTTATGTAAGGTCAAAGCTCACCAAGGACACCACTTTGCCCGTCACTTTAACTGAATGGAAGCTCTTCCGAGCTGGAGAAGTTGCAAACAGGAAAAGAAAAAATGTTCCAAGGGTAAGGATTTTCTTTCTTTGACTCTTATTTCAGCATTTGTTGTCATAAAATGAGAATGATTAAAGTTTAGAGGGTTGTAAATAATGGGTTAGAACTGACCTGCTGGAATCAGGAGACTTAGAAAGCAGCCTTCACTTTAGGGTTTTGCTCATGCAGAAAAATGCAGGCTTTTGCCAAGGTTTCTTGATGGTTTTGGAAAATTGACTTTACTTAAAGAGCTTCATTTTGCAGTCAACTGCCTGGGTGAGGGAAGTGCTAGAATATCGGATATTTTATTAAACTGCCTTCGGTCTTCTCGCTCACATTATTGCCAAAGCGAATTCAGTTTTGTGTGCAAGTTTAGATTTTCAGTAATTGCAAAGCACATGCCGTTAAATTTGGGACAGATATTTCCATTCAGAGGGAGAAAAAAGAAACTTGTCTATTACTTAGTAATAGAAATTTTCAGCAATTATCTTAAATAAATTACTTCTTTCTCAAGGAGAAAAGTCAGTAAGTCTGTAGTCATCTCAACCAGAACCATTGGAACCAAAATGAAGAAATTGGGATTATTTGTAGACATATATTTTAGGAGGGATACTTAAGAAATTACATGAAAATATTTTCAAACTCTTTATGATACTTTGTTCTTCTGTAATTCAGAATGTCTTCAGGATTACTGTTAAATGAAAAAATCCAATCATTGAAATAGTACTCCTTTCCTTAATCCTACTCGTTTAGCACAGTTTTTGTACCTGATTTTAACATTAAACAGAAGTCACAGCTGTTTCTTGGTTTAGTAACTGATTGGTTCCTTGGGAAATACTCTGTTCCATAATTACTTTAATTCTTCTGATCTATTTCCTGCCACTCCCTCTTTAATAAGTGAAAAGTTAAAGACACAGTTCCTAAAATGCTCTAAACTGATATTTCTCTGTGGGAAAAAAAATATATATATCTTTAGCTGTTTATTCTGCTGAGGATGATGAGGAAGGGTTAAAAAGCAGAGGTTTGAGGAACTACCAGGCCTTCAGCAGCCTGTAATGTTCCTTCCAATGGTAACTCTCCCCTCCGATAGACCACGCTGGCACACGAAGCTGCTTCCCACATGGCCCAGAAATAGCTCATTGTGTGTCCCCAGGGGCCAGAACACAAACACAATAGAGACTTCATTTATGATGTGGTTTTGGAATGGCCTAAGCAAGTACTGAGGAATGACGGACTGTGCAGTCTACTGAGACCCAAGGAGATTGAGCGCTTTAGGCTTCGTGCCTCTACTTCCCATGCCGTGGATCTCCGACTGCTTGAAGTGTGTTCTAGGATCCAACTTTTCCTTCTTAATATTTCCCAAACGTTTTGGGGGGTTTGTGTTTTTAGAATTATGGGTGGGAGAAGGAGGAACTCCTGATTATCAGGCAGGAGCAGACTGTTAGCATTTCTACCTGTGATCCTCCTTCAATTATATGCTTTTAGGATGTTCAATTTGCAATACAAATATTGGTTTTGGAGAAAGCCTTTTTTACTTATTTCCCCTTTGATGACTAGAGCTATCCCTGGAAGAGAAACTGGTTTCCTAGTTTGCAAAAACACTGATCTAGTCCATATGCCTCTTCCCCACCCTTCCTTTCTTATCCTGCTCTGGAGGCCTTTGTTTGCTGGAGTAGATTCCCTGATGTTTGTGTCACACATGTACAACAATGTGTTTCCCATCATTCTTAGGAAGACTGCCCCACAGTATTTCCTACAATTAGGAGATAAAAGCAGGCTCTTCTTCCCAGCTCATAACCACATTTTAACTTAGTACTTTACCTCATCTTTCTAGGGCAGATTGCTCCCTTTCCTTTAAAATAGTTGTGTATACTTTGGAGTATACTTTTCAAATGCACATTAATATTTATATTAGTTATGCTCATGTTGACTTGTGTCACCCCAATAAGTTTAATTTTTAAAAATTTATATTAATTTTGACGTGTCCGCCGCAAAGTAGTGTCGAGTAGCTGGTAGCCAATGTCCAGAATGGTTCGGAGTGCAAAGGGTTAAAGACCTAGTTCAGCCCAAACCGGTTTGGCTCAGTGGTAGAGCATCGTTCGGCCTGCTGACTGAAAGGTCCCAGGTTCGATTCTGGTCAAGGGCACATCCCCAGTAGGGAGTGTGCAAGAGGAAGTTGATTGATGATTCTCATCAATGTTTCTAACTCTCTATCCCTCTCTCTTCTTCTGTAAAAAAAAAATCAATAAAATATATTAAAAAATAAAAATAATAAAAAAATTTATATTAATTTTGTTCATTTGCAACTAAAAATATGTTTGCTCTCAAATATCTTTCCATAACCCTAAATGTACTTTTTTACATTGGGTCCTTTTATTTATTTTTTATAATGCAAATATTTAAGGACATTGGTAATTTTTGACTTGCTTGGCAGTTACAGAAAATCATTGAAAGAACAAACTCATCCATAAATGTGGGGATAATCTGCATATTGGAAGCACATGTTCCTCACATGTTATTTTTTGCTCTGGACTCATTCACTGCCTACGATTGCCAACATCACTGAAGAAACGAGGACAAAAGAGAAAACAAGGGTGTTTTTCTCCAACTTCGTTGGTTATCATTTTTTATAATGTTCGTAACAATTGAAGTTCTGAGCATTAAATATATTAAATCAGGACTAATAGTTAAGAAAAAGCTTGGAATTTTAAGAAAAAGATATATGAAAAAAACTAACCAGTTCTTCCTTTTTTAAAGTGGCAATTGATCATCTTTAATTTTTTCCTCTTTTAAAAAAAATATATCTTTATTGATTTTAGAGAGGAAGGGAGAGGAAGAGAGATACAGAAACATCAATGATGAGAAAGTATTATTGATTGCCTCCTGCATGCCCTCTACTGGGGATCAAGCCCACAACCCAGGCCTGTGCCCTGACAGGGAATCAAACTGTGACCTCCCAGTTTATAGGTTGGCACTTAGTAACTGAGCCACACTGGCCAGGCTCCTTCCTTTTTTTTAAAGCCCAGTCTGTGTGCATGTCTGTCTCTCACACACTCCTTCCAGCAGCAAAGAAATCATTCTAATGAATAATGTTTATTAAATAAAGCATATTTGAGAGTCTCTTAATTTTATGATATGTTTCTAAGATAAATTGTAATATTAGTGCTCCTACTAGCAAAGAGATAGAGTATTCCCTTTGACAAAAACTTCCTATGTATGATTTATCTCTTTGCTAAAAATTCCTGGGAGCAAAAATAACTGAGCCCCACCCTACCTTCCAAGTGAATAAGTATTCCACTTCCTATTCTGGGCAGGCAAAAACTTGAGTCTGAGAGTAAATGCTTGGTCACCCTATTACGTGCAGTACCTAGATTTCCTGCATGTCGTGACATGGAATGACGAGGAATCTCTCCAAAGCCTGTGCTGGGTTCTTCTGGAAAGGATCCCCTTCTTTTACCCATGTAACATGGACTTTATTTAGAGCAACGTATTATCTTAGTAAAGATCATTTTAGCCCTGGCCGGTTTGGCTCAGTAGATAGAGTGTCGGCCTGCAGACTGAAGGGTCCTATGTTGGATTCTGGCCAAGGGCACATGCCTGGGTTGCGGGCTTGATCCCCAGGGTGGGGCGTGCAGGAGGCAGCCGATCAATGACTCTCTCATCATTGATGTTTCTATCTCTCTCTCCCCCTCTCCTTTCCTCTCTGAAATCAATAAAAAATATATATCTTTTAAAAGATAATTTTAGATTCAAAATTGAGAAATGTAAGTTTCATTTATAAAATGGACCTTTTTCTCAATGAGCATCTCAAATGAAAGTGGGCTGCAAACTTGTTGGTGTTGGTTTTAACTTGTACTTTTCTGGTCTTTTTCAGCTGGTATTGAGAATAGATGACATATTTGAATCAAAGAGAGGGAAAAAGAGAGTAAAGTTACATCCGTACTCAGGAAAAGACGTACCTCCTTCTAAAGGTAAGAATTGTTCTAGCTGTTCATCGCTATCAGCATATGAGGAGAGAATCATATAACTTAATGATTGATGTGAATTATGGTTTTTAGTTTACTTTCCTATCTATCCCACTTAAATATAAAACTTATTTAGGCTAAGGGACTATTTCTTGTTCTTCCTCAAGCTCCTCTTATTTAGTTCTTTGTCAAGTAATAAGTAAATAAATAGATAATTAAACAAATGAAAAATATATACATATAAACCAACAAGATTAATTTTCATAGGTAAATTGCATCATTCTTTTGTAGTTCTACTTTTATTTATAGTCACTTATAAGTATAGACTCAGTGGAGAAATTAAAATATTATTAGGTATATATTGACTGAAAGTATGTGCTACTCATCTTATAGTCAGTCATCTTATAAGCTCCATAGTTTTATCCTTCAGATGCTTAGATAAAACTTATGTTGTCCTAATTAAGAAGATTTTAACATCCAGAGTGAATTATTAGAATTTTCTTTAAAACTTATGCAAGATTCTTTAACTTGGCTGTCTGCAAAAAATAGGCAAGATTTCGCAGTTTTTGTATGTGAGATTCCTAAGTCAAAAACAACAGCCACATCATACCAGAAGAGTATGTTTCATATTTTTGCAGACTTCCAAATTTCCCTTAAATCTATTCTACAGTGTAACAATTATATCTGAAAGTGAAATTCTTCATGTTACAATTCAAGACTCTTTCTTCTTACTCTGCGATGATTAAAATGAACGGGCCACCATTTTAAATGTCAGTTTTTATATCCTCAAAAGCAATTAGTAAAAGATGTTTCAGTCTTCTGCAGAAGAAATACTTCTGATTATTGTTAATAATAGCTAACATCACTGGATTTACATACTCATGTGTGTATAGTTTCTTTACGTACTCTACCTCATGTGTGTAACATATGACAGCATTAGGAGGTAGGGACTATCCTAATTGTACAGACTAAGAAACTGAGCCAGAAGAGGAAATGTCATTTTAAATTAAGGAGCATGGATCCATAAGGTCTTAACCCTTTTCCGTCACCAACAGTTACTCTCCATTTTTCTCATTAACTTTGGTTTTTAGCATTTTCACTGTCTCCTCTCCATGTTTCCTTGTCTTCACTAAGGATATGGCCAAAGGCTTTTAACTTGTATAACCCAGAACTATATACAGAAAATGAAAACTGATGCTAGATATCATGCTGGATCCTTTCAAACACATTATCATTAGTTTTCTAAAGAGCCTCTGTGGCACATAGCAATCTCACTGTTGAAGACAAGGACATAAATTGTAAGTTGCAAATTATGTACAATATCAGGACACTGGGACCAGGACTAATTCTAAAAGAACATTATCTTTTTCCCAGATTAACAGCAGTCTATTGATAACTGTATTCTCCAGATATGGCATCCTCAGTAGGTTATTCCGATATCTTATTCAAATGCTTTATGCCTTATGGATTAGGAACATTTTAGTAAATTCAATTGTAAAACAAGTTTTTGAAGAGACAAATTATTTTGTCACTGCATCATTATTAAAAAGGAAAAAAAATCAACAGCCTGAATTGCCAACTTCTAGCGCTCACACACACACACACACACACACACGCACACGCACACGCACACACACACACACACACAAACGCAGTCCTTAAGTGTAACCCTTCCCTTTAGGACTGTTTTTCGTTTGTGTGGCTCAAAGACAATATGCATTTACCCAGTCTGTGGCCAACTTCTCCAGCGGGCCAGGGGGTTTCTCTCAGGCCTGAGGATCTCCTGGCTCCATGGTCACTGTTCTCTGATGTTTGTTTTCCTTCTTACGCTTCTGTCTGCTTATCAACGATATCTAGTAGGACCAGATAATTGTATTTACCTTCTGTGTCAGTACATGCTGAGCTGTACTGAATCTATTCCAACCTAAACATTTCTTAAGTTTCAGTTATCAGAATTACAGAATGATTTAGTGCCATTCTTCAATTCTGCCATTACAATTTTGCATGTTAAAGTTACACATAAAAAGGAACAGCCTAGTACTTTTTTGATCCCTATAGATTCTGTGTAGATTTGGGTGGCTTATAAACCCCCTACCCCTTACCCTTAACCTTCATTTAGTGTCCCAGAGTGCAAGTCACCAAATAATAGATGTGACAGTATTATAAGGTCTTTTCCAGTTATAGTACCTCTCCTCCCTTTTCCCTTGCTTTTCTTTCTTTCCTTAAACTTCCTAGGCTCCCAGAGAGTGCCTGCGGCTAAGGACCCAGGAGCAGACAGGTTGTTCCTTCATACCAAACAGTGTTCAGAGCCTCAGTATACTTTTTGTCATGGTGGTTAATGTGAAGTTACAAACATATGTGGTACCCAATATTTAAAAAGCTAATCTTTCTGTAACTTCTCTTAGGTCCCTGGGTCTTGTTTTCCCTGGTACATTTTATGTGCGGCTGCGGCTAGTTGCCTACCCAAGCAGCCATCTTGGATTCTCTCCTCCCTGGTACATTTTAAATTTTCCCCTTTCTTCACATTTTATTTTTGCCCTAACTTTTCAGACTTAATCTAGAAATTTTTTGTTCACTTGTAAAACACTCTCCTGTAAAAATATAGCTCTCATTCTCAAGAAACTTAAAATTTGTTTGGGAAAAATAAGAGCAATTTAAAGCAGAATTTCGAATAGAAGAGTTCAGTTTGGCCTGGAGTTAGCTTGGAGAGATCATAAAAAAGAGATTGTTACTTCATCAACTTATTTGGTAATCCCCTTTGCCCCAACATTTTCCATGATTTTAAATTCATAGTTTGTTCTGTGTTGAGATTTTTCTTTAGTCGGGTTGGTGTTCAACCTTGGATACTTTATTCGAGAATTTAAAGATGAGGAGATGGATGTAGAAATAGACTCCAAACTAGACTTCTTAAAACTAGTCTGAACTACTGTTAATTTCTAGGATCAGGAAGGGAGGGTGTGGGAAGAAGACGGATAGAGTGTTTTCTCCTCTGGGCCTTTTGTTTTCTGTGACTGTCCTGCCCTGGTGTAACTCAGTGGTTGGAGACAGGCTCAGCTTTCCTGACTCCAAGCCCCAGGTCTGTGGAGGTTTCACATTGTTTCCATCCTCCTGAACTTCCTACCGGTGGACAAATACAGATGGAAACTACCTCTCTCTTTTCAGGTGAAACCAGTGGGAACGAAAGTGATGCCGAGTATCTGCCAAAGAGTGAGTGAGTCAATGGGCTGCTCCCTTTCTCGTGATGATCACGGCATAGGTGGGGTGGCACCTGCCGGTGTGATTAAGCATGTTTTCCCACAAGAAGTGTCATATTGTAGGAGATTTTTTCAGTATAAGAGCTTGTTGAGATTTGGCAAACTAAGCAGCACACTGTCAGATGTCTGACAGCATTAAACATCTCCCAGAGTGGAGCGAGGCAAACCCTCATGGAGCTAAGATGGAATGTTCTTAGGGGAGTGGCAGAGCTGCGTGTCCAGACAAATGTGTAGACATTTCCCAGAGCCAAAATAGGGTATGTGTGAATCATCCCCTGAGACAAATACTTGTCATTCAGTATCAGATTTTTCACAGTCACTCAAGTGTAAGTTAGTGACGTTGGTATCTCTGATACTGGGACAGAAAACTTTGATCTTTTTCTTCTTCATAGGCATTTATATTCCAAACTAGAGACCCAGTGCATGAAATTCGTGCATGCTGGGCGGGTCCCCTCAGCCCAGCCTGCACCCTTTCCAATTTGGGACCCTTCGAGGGATGTCTGACTGCCCATTTAGGCCTTATCCCGGTAAGACTAAATGGGCAGTCGGACATCCCTCTCACAATCCAAGACTGCTGGCTCCCAACTGCTTGCCTGCCTGCCTTCCTGATTGCCCCTAACTGCTTTTGCCTGCCAGCCTGATCATCCTGTAACCACTCCCATGCCAGCCTGATTGATGCCTAACTGTTCCCCTGCCAGCCCTTTTTCCCCTAACTGCCCTCCCTTGCAGGCCTTGTCCCTCCTAACTGCCTTCCCCTGATGGCCATCTTGTGGTGGCCATCTTTGAATACATGGGGGCAGCCATCTTGTGTGTTGAAATGATGGTCAATTTGCATATTACTATTTTATTAGATAGAATTATTGTGCCATTTATTTTTTGTTAGACTATAGAATATGCCATGCAGTTTTTGCTATATTTGTTGTTTCACTTCATGGTGCTTGATACCCTTCCTTTAATGGATTCTCACAGGAACTTTGTCAGTTCCTGTTTGACTGGCAAACGAGGCATGGAGAAAGTAGGAGACATGAATATTCAAAGCTGTGTGCAGGGCAGTTCCAAGTCTGATACCCTGATCTTATGATTAACAATCAGGTGCTCCCTCCACTGGCCTGAATTAGTTCAGGTGTTTGATTCTGCAGCCTGAAGGTGAAACTTAAGTCAGCATCAGGTTCAGCCTGGATGTGCACAGATGGCTAATTCAGTGCTGTTGATACTGAGAAACAGGACCTAAATTTTTCTTGACTTGAACTGAACCCTTTGGAATAAGTAAAAATTTTTCCTAGAGTACTAAATGTACTAGATAATTCTGGGAAGCCACTCCTAGATGTATTTTTGATCCATAGTGTAACTCTTTGGGGGGCATAATGCATCATAAATTTTTTTAAAAAATCAAAATGATTAGTCAGAGGATGAGTCTTTCCACTGTTGGCACAGAATGACACATAGGCAAGTCAATGAGCCACTTGGATTATTTCTTCTGCAGGTACTACCCTTCCCCTTGGGGGACACTGTCTCAGATTGTTCAGAATTAGAGATAAATGAACATAAAGGATAAATGCAAGCCAGTGTTGAGTGGTATTGCTTGCACTGTTTAAGTAGTATGTTTTTATCCTTTTGAGAAATAGTCTGTGAATGGATGTCTTCTACTTCAATTATTTTCTCTTGCATTTAGTATCGTTTATTGATATTTATTTCAGAGACAAAGGGAGAGGAAGGGAGAGATAGAAACATCAATGATAAGAGAGAGTCATTGATCGGCTGCCTCCCGCATGCGCCACACTGGGCATCGAGCCTGCAACCCTGGCCTGAGCCCTGACCAGGAATCAGACTTCAACCTTCTGGTTCCTAGGTCAACTCAACCGAGCCATGCCTGCTGGGCTAGCATCATTTACTGATAAAAGTGCATGTCCATTATTAGAGCTGTGTGCCAAGGAGAGAAGGAAAAAGGACAGTTTCTTTCACATGAGAATAGTTTTGTTTTAATTTTTTTTTTTTTTAGGAGGAAATGGAAGAGGCTGTTTTATTTTTATTTTATTATTTTTTTAATATATTTTATTGATTGATTTTTTTACAGAGAGGAAGGAAGAGGGAGAGAGTTAGAAACGTCAATGAGAGAGACCAGCTGCCTCTTGCACAACCTCTACCGGGGATGTGCCCGCAACCAATGTATATGCCCTTGACCGGAATCGAACCTAGGACCTTTCAGTCCGCAGAATGACTCTCTGCCACTGAGCCAAACCGGTTTCGGCTGTTTTAATTTTATCAAACTCAATGTGTTTGCCCTCTGTAGGACTCAGTTCTTTTATCATATCATCTTCCTCTCTACCCCAACATGATTTCATGGTCCCAATAGTGATATCTTTGATCAGGCCAGTGCTTTTGCCTGACATGTTCCGTATGTCCTGGTGTTAGGCCATGAAAGATGGGGTAACATAGAGCATGTGTTGGGACATAAGAGAATCAGTCCCAACACAGGGCCCCAAGTGCTTGTGAGAATCTGCACTTGACCCTCAAGCCTGTCATAGCCCTAACAGGTATGTCTGTGTGGCAGATGTTGGTGAGTCAACATTCCTTCAGCAGTAGCTGAGGGAAGATTAGTCCTGAGTGGGTTGCGACCTCTGGTGCTAGAGGGAAGCCGGCTTCCATGGAAAACACGGCTCCGTGCTGTCGTTGCAGATCGCCACAAGCGCTTAGCGCAGCTGCAGCAGTGTGCCAAGAGGAACCCCCACTACCAGACCTTAGAGCGCGACCTCATTGAGTTACAGGAGCAGCAGCTGTTTGAACTCTTTGTGGTTGTGTCTCTCCAGAAGAAACCATCAGATATAAGCTACGTTCCCCAGGTCATTCAGCAGTTCCCTGGCAAGGTAGGTGCAAGAAGGCAGGGGGCACTCAGGAATGTTCCTGTGTCTCTGCGTGTATTTATTTCCTCTTGTTTCTTGTTGTCTCTGTCAGCTTTTAGTAGTGTGCTGTACTTCCTATAGGGTCTGGTAGATGACTCTGATGACATATACATATATATGTTTTTATTGATACCAGAAAAGAAGGGGAGAGATAGAAACATCAATGATGAGAGAGAATCATTGATCAGCTGCCTCCTGCATGCCCCACAACCAGGCATGTGACCTGACCAGAAATTGAACCGTGACCTTCTGGTTCATAGGTTGACGCTTAGCCACTGAACCATGCAAGCCAAGCTCTGATGACATCTTATGTCAAGCATGAGCTGCCACCTCAAGGGAGGAAAAAGCTCATTATCCAAGTTTGTGCTTTATTTTTCACTCTGCTATTTACTAAGTGACCTCTAACAAGTTACAGAGCCTCCATTTTCTCATCCTTATTGAAGGGAATAATAAATGCGGCCGAACAGGGTAGGAGTTTAGAGCATGAATTCTAAACCAACTATCTGCATTTGCCATTTATTAGCTGTGTGACTCGTAGCAATTACATAACTGCTCTGTGCCTCGGTTTCTTCATTTATAAAATGGAGGGAATCATAATAGTGTCCATTCCACTAAGCAGTGATGAGGACTAAATAGCTGTATAAGGCCCTTTGAACAGTGTCTAGCCCACAGTAAGTACCATATAGTGTTAGCCATTATTAATGGGGATTTAACAACATAATGTATGTGAAGTGCCATCCCTGGAACATGGTAAGGACTTGCCAAATGGTAGCTATTATTTTTTTTACTGGAAGCTATTATTAACAATATTATTTAGTTTGCTCTGCCTTTTTCAAAACATGATTCATTCATTCATTTCATCAAATATTTCTTAAATATCTACCGTTTGCCAATATTAGGTGCTAGGAATACAAATGAAAAAGATCTTGGTCCCTGCCCGTGAACACAGGGCTTAGAACACAGACCCCAGATGTGGCTCTGAGCTTCGTGGCAGCAAAAACAGAGAGAGGAACATGATCATTGCATCAGGGCTTGCAAACCATGGCCTCTGAGCAAATTGAGACTACAAACTTTCCCCCCTCCCTATTTGTGGTGTTTTGTAAAAATAATAACAGTAAATTACTTGTTGCCAATGTTTAAAAATCAAATTTCACATAAAAACCTGTGCTTCTGCTTTTTCCTGAGAAACTGGAAAGCCTACCCGCACTCAGCCTACATTCCTGAGCGGCAGGAATTGGCTGAAACTGAGTAAGCCATGGCTGACTTCATGGGCACGTGACCAGCACAGTCACATGAGGCCCCTCCCTCAGAGGGGCCCTGTGCTGGGGACTGAATGCTCTGCAGTCCCCATTGCAATTCTTAATAACGTTGCCTTTGAATTTGTGTTTTGGAAGTGAGATCCGGTGGGACAAGGAGGCAAGAGGCTAGGTCTTAAGTGCTCGGTTCATGCATGGTCGCACCTCTTGCCACCTCCCCAGGATGGTTCTCTACTTGTCCTCCCCCCTGCCCCCTGGTTTCCTGGGCCCTGTCTGACTTTCCCCCTTCTGCCCCTACTCAGTAACTACTGCCCTCTCTGTCCCTGGCAGGGGCTTGGGCACAGGCATGGAGAAGGTCAGGATCAGGCAAGCATTGCCCCACAGCATCTCTAGCCAATGCATGGCGAGATCGTCCCTGCCTGGGCTGGCAGTGCCACTCACGTTCAGCGGCTGCCTTGGTGGGGCAAGAACTTGCACCACCCTCAACCCGAGCACATGCCCCTGTGGAGGCTACTCCCCCATGGGGGTTGCCCCGCTGGGTGGGAACAGTGGCCCGAGAGATACAGAGAGGCCTGGCTTAGCTTCCTCACCTCTGGTCAGGACACAGTGTCCGTTCTGCATCTGGAAACCCATCAGCTGCTGGGTCACTTGTGCACCGATTGCAGGCCAGGACCTCAGTGAGGGTTGTGAGGGTCTGCGCTTCACCCCAGGATCCTTGTGCCTGAGGGCACATGACATGAAATGGCAAATAAAAACCCCTTCACAGGGTAAAGACCACAGAAGCTGATGTTTTTTATTTTATTTTATGTTTCATGTTTACTGCTTTTAAAACAAGGGCCCACAGCTCACCTTGCATGGTGCTCTGCAGATTCTGTAGCTGGCCCTGGTGAGAGTGATCCCTGTAGATAGGGGCGTTTGCTCACTCTCCAGCTTCCTCCTTGGAGCGCTTCTCTCCTTTAAATCATCTACTCAGCCCGATTAGGACTTTTGGTTTCTAACCTTGAGTTACATGTTTCACTAAAAAAGCTAGTGAAGCATGACTGTACTGGAACTTAAGAGACGTTTCCTGTATGGATTCTCATTTTTTTTAAATTCTCAACAACATCCCTACTATAAATAAGTCAATTAAGTTTAATTTTTTAATAAAATTCCTCAGTGTAGTGTGAGGGCAGGGGGTCATGGCCCTGCTTAATAACATGAGACCATTAGAGTCTAAAATAATGTCAACTAGATGGTCTTGAGGAATCAAATTTTCCATAAAGAGGAACTTCTACCCCCACTCCATTTTTGATATCTTATATTTGCAGAGAGAAATCTTGATGTTGAACCTGTTTTCAACGCAGCCTGAATTAATGGGCTCACAACCAGATAAGGATCCATTGACTCTGCCAGTGACTCAGAAGCGTCTCTGAGCGATTTGTTTAGCATCTTTGTGCACAGAACCCTTACGTTAGGGACGCAAAGAGCTGACCAAGCCCCTCTCGGTCCTATTGCAGGAAACCTTGAATGAAGATGATTGTGAATCATTTAATAATATGCTTTTCCATTTCTTAAGAACTTAATATCCAAGTGACCCAGAATGGCTGCATGTTTTGCTTTAGAAATGAAAGGATAGAGCGTTTATATTAGTTACATGAAGGCAATATGGTAATTAGACTTATTATCTGCTTGTTTTTGTACTAAATTTTCAATGTCTTTTGGTTTAACTAAACTTAGACTGTCCTTTAGGTATAATACCAGACTTGCGCAAAAGGGTCTTCCATGCTGAAATTTTACAGGAAGTTGCAAACCAGTAATTATGTAGCAAAGAATACATGCTAAGGGAAATGATAATATATGGAGTGGATTCTAAACATTCTTTTCTGAAAAGCATTCATCTGCTTTTTCAAAACATCTTTGGTTATTGATCAGAGAGTGTCTAGAGCTGACTAGGTTTCTGCTATCTGTGTGTTTATTCTAGAACTAGAAAAAATCTATATTATAGAATAGATTTTTATTTATTTGATGTTCCATATTCGGTTATCGCTCTTACATCAGATTGTAGGATCTCCACTATACCATTACTGTGTAAAAATAGGATTTTTTATTCTCAGTAACTTTGTTCTCAATGCATCTTCAGTGGTTACCAGTCTTGGCCTTTCTGTTTCGTTAAACAGCACAAAACTATGCTGAGATACTATTTAGACTCATCAGAGACCTCTTTTCCCAAGACCAGGCTGAGGACTTTATTTCTGTTCTCCACTTGCATAGAATATTAGTCACCTGCATTGTTATCTTTTTCAGGGTGATCATGGCTTTAAGCAATCCAAAGACACTGAAGAGAGGCTCAAAGTTATCCCCAAATTTTGTTTTCCTGATTCGAAGGACTGGGCTCCAACCTCAGAACTCAAGAGGTAAGTAGCTACTTTATCTGGTTTCTATTTGTTGGAACTAGAAACAGAGAATCAGACAGAGGCTTGGGAAGTGGGGGAGCCAGCAGTGAAGCGGTGTGGACTGTAGCAGGTCAAGGAGGGAGGGGATGGGGGGCGGGGGAGGAAAGGAAGAAACAGAATTAGAACATTTCCTCTTGGGACTCAGGAAAAAAACACAAGGAATAATGTCAGTGTCCAAGAGAAAACAAGTGTGAGTGTCCACTTCGCCAGTCCTGCAGAGGAAAAAGTTCCACAACCAGACATGCCACCAAGTGGATAGAAAAGGGAAAGCCACCTTAGGGACTCAGAAGCAGGTCAGACAGAGCACTGCATCCGTTGATAGAAGCAGCCGCAGTCCAGTTTGTATGAGCCCTGTGAGAGGCTCCCGTGTGGGACATGTAGAATGTTGAGAGGGGAGTTATGCGCGCATGCTGCTTGTAAATTGGTAACTGCTTTGTTCAAAACTGTAATTCTTGATCGTGCCGTTGGACTGGAAGGGTGTTTATGTGAACCATGTCACATGGCGCCGACCTGCTGGGAGACAGCCTCAGCTGTTGCCAAAGGAGCCCTGCCCTTCCACCTCCGATTGCCTCTAGACTAAGCCGCTGGCTCCCATAACCAGTCTAGCCTGATCGCCGCTCTCATCGCTGCACCATCAATCCTGAGGCTTTTGTGCTGGCAGTTACACTTCCAGCACAGAGACCCCTTCTTCCTTCTGCCCTGACTCCCCATCCTATCACACCCCACCCAGACAAGTTATGTGTGTTTATTCTAGAACTAGAAATTCCTGCACTCGTAGGGTCGCTATTGGCTGCCGCCAGGGGCTCCCTCCCTCCCCTGGCCGGTCCCGCCCCCTGGTCGAACTCCCAGGTGAACTAGTTGAGGGGACAATTTGCATGCTACACTTTTATTATATAGGATATTCGGAAAATACAGAGAAGTAAATAAAAAGCAGAAGTTAGAAGTTACTGGCATTCTGCTTACTCAGAGATAATCACTGTAACTATTTTGGCATATTCCCTTCCAGTCTTCTATTTTGGCCTTATATAGACACATGTACTTGCTGTTCAAATTTGGACTTTTTCATAAATGAACTCACTTCTTAGCATCTGTAAGTCTTCTTTTCATAAATTATCTCTGCATATATTTTCTCTATGTTTCTAATGAGGCTTTGGTGATTTTCCTATGGACAGTATCCTTAATTTTTACATAGTAAGGATACTATCCTTTGCCTATCACTATATGGCTTCTCATAACTAAATAGAAGAATTTTTGAAGGGAAAAATAGTTTATCACAATCACTTACAGCTTTTTTATATGCTTGGCTAAATTGGACATTCAACAAAAGGAAAACAGGCTTGATGAATAACTAGACTGGATAAATAGAAAGTAAAAGGAGGCAATAACAACAGCAATTCATCCTCTACCTGTTCTCTCACTCCAGTGCAGGGAGGACATTGCCAAGGCCTGGCTTTCCCTCGGGAGCAGTGTGACTTGCAGTAAAATAATATTAATCCCTCCTCTTACAGTCACTGCTGTTAGACTAATTGTCAATTGTTTGTTCTATGAGGAATGTCAAACAATTGTTTGGATCTCAAACTAGTTCCTGTTTTTGTTTTTTGTTTTTAGTGAGACGTTCTCCTTTGTCTTAACTGGTGAAGATGGGAGCCGGTGGTTTGGTTACTGTAAGAAGCTTTTGGTAAGTTGCAGACTCGTGCTCCAGGCAGGGTTGGTCAAGGAGCAATAGAATCACACTAGGAATTTCAGAAACGCTATCTCCCGATGAGTTTGAAGGCTACTCAATGATCTGTGTGTTGCTAGCTTGTTTGGCTCAGTGGATAGAGCATTGACCTGCGGACTGAAGGGTCCCTGGTTCCATTCTAGTCAAAGGCACAGGCCTGGGTTGCAGGCTCGATCCCCAGTTGGGGGCGTGCAGGAGGCGGCCCATCAATGATTCTCGCCATCGATGTTTCTGTCTCTCTCTCCCTTGCTGTTCCTCTCTGAAGTTAATAAAAGCATTTTTTAAAAATGATATGTGTGTTAAAGAACCTGTGTTAGCAAGATTGAGGTTAGCCACAAAGTATTTTAGAGTAAAAGGGTGTGGATTTATTTTATTTGTATGTTTGTAATAAAGAAACCACTGACACAGTGGCTGCATCAGTCTGGGTATATTTGAGCCAATCCAGGGCTCTGAGTTACTTTCTTCTTGCTTGAATGTCCCCACTAAACCCGGAGTAGTTATGCTATCATAGTTTAGCATTTTCCCATCTTTCAGTGTTCACTGAGAATCAGAACCTTGATTTCTACTCTGTATTACAGAGTATTAAGAGAGTGTTAATAGTCCAAATCAGTAACAACTTACGCTGCTTAATTTTTGCTTTGTGTGTTCTCTTTCAGCCAGAAGGCAGAGGAAAGCGCCTGCCCGAGGCTTACTGCGTGGTCAGTCGCCTGGGCTGCTTCAACCTCTTCTCAAAGGTGAGCAGGGAGTGCTGTGGGCAGTGGCCGCCTCACCGGGCTCTGAGCGAGTGGTTCCCGACGACGTAGGTCAGGGCCACGGGTTTGAGGCTTAAATCTCTAACCCAGACGCTCTGGCCCTGCCCCTTAGGTTGGTTTGCTAAACCCCCCAGCTTATAGGAGAACATAGCCTGAAGCTAACTTGTCTCATTCCCCATCCCCTCCCCTAACTGCAGGAAATAAAAAGGGACGCATCATCATCTAAAAATAAGTTGATTCATTTTAATAACTTTTCTTGGGGATACAAAGATACCCCCCAAGAGATATAATGCCTTTAATTAAGGCAGATAATGCTGAAGCTTATTTTTTTTAATCTGTTGGTATTATTTTTAAATTTGGGAGCTGAGTTTGTCAGTTGGTTAAAAGGATTCATTATGTCTTTTGACGGAGTTCCTAATAAAAGAACGTGTGTGTGTGTAGATTTTGGACGAAGTAGAGAAGAGAAGAGAGATGTCTCCAGCTCTGGTTCACCCCTTCATGCGAAGTGTCATGGAAGCTCCTTTCCCGGCCCCGGGACGCACCATCACAGTGAAGAGCTACCTCCCTGGGGCTGGAGACGGGGTAAGTTTGCTCATTCTGAAAAGGTTTGAGAGCTGCCAACAAGCAGGCCTGACATTAGGAGGCAGTTTCCAGAAGCCTCCGGGGATAGTTTTCCCTTCTCGGTGCAGAAGGTGAACAGTATGGAACATTTTAGTCTCACAAAGCACCAGAGAAATATCCAGATGAGCCACTTCGCAATGACAGTTTCAGTCATTACAATAAATTGTGATAAATGAAGATTATACTACTACTAGAAGATAATTGCAAGAGTAGGCCTTCCTTCCCTTGACTGCCAGCATCGCCTTTGCTCCAGCCTGGAGCTACCTTCTGCTATTCCTCTGGCCCAGAGCTGCCTTCTGCATCTCACCTTGTTGTGTCAATTTGCATAGTCCCTCCTTATTGGATGTGGGCGTTGTCAACTTTGTCTCAGAGTTACGGTCAATTTGTATATTCCATCTTTATTAGATAGGATTGGCAGTGAGATAAAGAATTTTACCAGAAATTCACAAAATTACAAAGGTGTTCAGTCTTGGGATTAGACTAGACAGCTTTACAAACTGTAGCAGACCCTTTTCTTGAATTTGACCTGTAGAAGAATAACAGGATCCATTAGGCCTGTCATTAGCATTGCACCAGCTCCCCTGATTCAGATTCTTGCATTGCAGTCGGTTGAACTCTGCCGACCACTGGATTCCCGGCTGGAACATGTGGACTTTGAATGTCTCTTTAAGTGCCTGAGTGTGTGTCATCTGATTCGGGTCTGTGCGTCTCTCCTTTTGGAGCGAAGGGTAATCTTTGTGGCCAACAGCCTAAGGTGAGAAATAAGTAAATTATGTTACTTCCTACTGGTGTTTTATGGATTTTGACCATTTTAAAATTTGGGCATATTAATAAAACTATAGGATCTCCATCAGTTACCTAATGCCGTAGTGACATGGATAATTCTAAATGGTAAATAATCCAAAGCCTATTTGCACTAAGCTTATACCAGTGACTTTTGTGTGTTGCAATTCATTTACCTTTCTAAATGTGTTTTTGCTTAAGCTGTTAAAAATTGGTATTGCTTTTCTATGTACACACCAATTTTTATCGATATACAATGGAAGTTCCAGACTTTCAGAAAATTAAGTTAAAATTTTAAAGAAAATGTTAAACATTAATGAGTAATCACAGAATTGTTCACCTGTGCTCACTATCTGGCATCGGTTGGTAATTCTGACATAACATCTGCAGTGCCCTCCATGGCATGTTCTGTGTGTGACACCATTTGCTTTCTCCTCTGGCCAGCACCCTGTCAAAGTGTGGCCATGCTGTGGTTGCCACACTGTATCCATTCACCTGGCAGCACACCTACATCCCCGTCCTGCCAGCGTCCATGATCGACATCGTGTGCTCACCTACTCCGTTCCTCATCGGCATCCTGTCTTGCTCCTTACCGCAGCTCCAGGACCTGCCCATTGAAGAGGTGAGAGGGGAGCAGTGCCCGGGGAAAGACTGGCGCGCTGACAGTGAAAACAAGTGATCTTTAAGAGCGATGGGGTTGTCAATTAATACTAGCATATAATTATTCTTACTGCATTATGCTGTCATATTTTTATCTTTTTACTACAATAAGAAAAATTCTACAGTATTCCTGAATCTATGGTACACATATCTTATTTACAATAATGAACTATGGACTCGTGTTATTTTGAAGGTTAGATTTTTTATTATTATTATTGATTTCAGAGAAGAAGGGAGAGGGAGAAAGAGAGAAACATCAATGATGAGAGAGAATCACTGATTGGCTGCCTCCTGCACACCCCACACTGGGGATTGAGCCCACAACTCGGCCTGTGCCCTTGTCTGGAATCCAACCCAGAACCCTTCAGCCCGCAGGCTGACACTATCCACTGAGCCAAACCGGCTATGGCAGGTCTTTTTTTATTTTTAAGTCAAACATAAAAACTACTCTGATTTAACTCCAAAATTATTTCAAATGTAACCCACGTGTAGATGAGTGCCCAGAACAAAACGTGCAGCTCAGTGAACTATCACAATGTTGCCTATGTAACCAACACTGAATAGAGTGGGAACATTGCAGCCATAGAAACATCGCCAGCCTCCCTCCCTCTTCCCAGAAGTCCCCTCAGACCTCCTCCTAGTCACTGTTCCCTTCCCCACCCCCCACAGAAGGTAACCACTGTCTTACTTTTGTGGTGTTTATGTACTTGTTTTACTGCATAGTTTTACATCTAGGCATGCAACCCTACGTAATAGAGTTCAGTTTTGCCTGGTTTTAAGTTTGATATAAATGGACTCATACAGCATATATATCGATATTTTTTGAATGGCTTCTTTGGATAGCATTATGTCTATAAGATTCATCCATGTTGATGAATTTAACAGTGATTTGGTCATTCTGATTGTGTGTAGTATTCCATTGTGTGAATGTGCCACAGTTTTCTTATCTATCCTCCCATTGTTGGATATTTGAGTTGTTTCCAGTTTGGGGTTATTATGAATAATGCGCTGTAAATATTTTTGTATTTGACCCTGGGTTTATATATGTGCATGCAGTTCTATGGGTATATACTTGAAAGTGGAGTTGCTGGGTTATAGGGTAATCATATCTTTAACTTTAGTAAATAAAGTCCATACTGCTTTCCAAAATAGTTGTGGCAAGCTAACCTCCCTCCAGCAGTGTATAAGAGCTCCTATCGCACATCTCACCAACAACACTTGTCATCATCAGTCTGTGTAACTCAGCCTCTCCGGTGGGTGTGTAGTGGCATTCTCACTGCGGTTTAATTTGCATTCCTTGATTACTATTGAGGCTGAGCATTTTTCTATATGTTTATTGGCCTTTTGAACATCATTTTATATAAAATTTATTGCCTATTTTTCTGCTGGATTGTTCATCCTCACTGATTTGTAAGAGGCCTTTTTATATTTTGGATACCTGCCCTTTATGGATTGCCTTTTCATTCTCCAAAATGGCATTTTTTAATGCACAGAAGTTCTTAATTTTAATGTGGTCAGAATTATCAATCTTTTCCTTGATTGAGTTGTTTTGTTTTTATATGTGTGAGCTACTTAAGTTTTTCTTTATATTAACTTTATGTAGATGTCCTTCTACTTATATCCTGGAAGCTGTGGAAGCTTTATTTTTGTGCCTTTAATTTAAAAAATATATATATATATATATATATATATATATATATATATATATATATATATATATTATATATGTTTATTTATTTCAGAGAGGTTCGGAGAGAGAGAGAGAAACATCGATGATGAGAGAGAATCATTGACTGGCTACCTCTTGCATGCCCCACACTGGGAATCGAGCCCACAACCCAGGCACGTGCCCTGACTGAGAATCAAACCATGACCTCCTGTTTCATAGGTCAACATTCAACCATTGAACCACACCAGCCGGGCATGTCTTTAATTTTTGGTTCTGAGTCCTGGAACTTGGTCTTTTTTAATATGCTAAGAGGTAGATGTTGTTTTACTTTTTGTCATATGAATAGCCAACTCTCGTAACCATTTACTGAAAGGACTGGTCTTCCCTATTAGGGTTTAAACTCCCCAACCCCCCAGTTTTATCCCATATAATAAAAGCCCAGAGACCCAACGGTGGGACCACCAGAACAACTGGTTGACCAGTGCTATGATGCTCACTGACCACCAGGGGGCAGACGCTCAACACAGGAGCTGTCCCCTGGTTGTCAATGCGTTCACACAGTGGGAGTGCTGCTCAGCTGACCAGGATGAGCAGCTGTTACTGCAGTGGGAGCAGCTACTCAGAGGGTGGGTCTACAGCTGCTTGGCTGACCAGGATGAGAGGTGCTCCCACAGCGGGCTGCTCCCCACAGGCCACGCCCCCACCAGTGCACAAATCCTGTGCACCGGCCTCTAGTTGATATATAATCGACCTATGACATTGTATTAGTATAAGTTGTATAACATAATGATTTAACATATATGTATATTGTGAAATGATTACCACAAAAAATGTAACATTCATCACTGCCCATAGTTAGACATTTCTTTTCTTGTGATGGACACCTTTAGGGTCTATTTTCTTAGCAACTTTCTGACCAAGCAGTGCCTACATATTTCTTTGTGAATGTCTCTGGTTTGACTTGCCTGGCTCCTTTATTCCATAGGTGCTGATAGTTGATCTCTGTGCAGACAAGTTCTTACAGGAGGTGAGTGACAAAGGAGGTGATTACATAATGATTGGGGATAATTAGACAGGAGATATGTGAAAGTACTTAGAGAAGATGAGTCAGGCACTTGGCCTGGTACTGTGGCTGATCATACACGATTGACCTGAACAGTGTGGCTTGGGCTTAGCTGAATATCCTAAAGAAGGAAGGAAGAAACAGATCACAGGTCATTCTCAAAAGAGGCAGCCCTCCCTTCAAGTCCAGACGGGATAACATATAAGCCTCTAATGTAATCAAACGTAACAAACATTTAAAACTGATTATCTCCAAATATTCTGCATCTAATATGTGTAAGACACAGTTTGAGCCCTTAGGCCTTATAGTCTGATGGTAGGGAGGGGGTACAGACATACACATAAAGTTTTAGAAGTGGTATAATAGAAATTTATACAAGGTGTGTACAGTAGGGGCAAAAGAAGACGTGGTCATTTCTTCTGGGTATGAAAGTGGAAGAGAAGTTGGTAATGCCTGCTGAGAGCAGCCCTAGTATATTAAACTGTATGTAGGCTTGTGAACAGGGTTGAAAGAATGTTTCCCTAGACTTTTTTCAAAATCCCTTAGCTCATCATATTTGAAACACCATTTGGGGATGATCTTTTTTAAAAAATATACTTTATTGATTTTTCACAGAGAGGAAGGGAGAGGGATAGATAGCTAGAAACATCGATGAGAGAGATACATCGACCAGCTGCCTCCTGCACACCCCCCACTGGAGATGTGCCCGCAACCAATGTCCATGCCCTTGACCGGAATCGAACCTGGGACCATTCAGTCCGCAGACTGACACTCTATCCACTGAGCCAAACCGGTTTCGGCATTTGGGAATGATCTTTCTCAAGTAGCATAAGACTTGTAGATGAAAGATATTTAATAGAAAGTCCCAGAAATTTTTATGTGTATTATTTGTTTAATATAGTGAAGATGTAGATGCCATCAGCATCTTGGAGTCTGCTCAGTGCGCGAAGGAAGCTTCACACTGACTCCTCAGCCAAATATACAGTCACTGTGGGGTTTGGGGGCCCTAACTAGTGCACTCTCTCTCCAAGTTTATGAACATTTTCAATTTCTTCTCTTAAGGTATCTGACGAGGATGAAATTTTACCACCTAAACTCCAAGCTGCCCTAACACAGATTTTAGAAGAACGAAATGAAATTTTGGCTCAGGAGCAGAATTTCTCACAAGGTACGTGACAGGTGGCCTGAGGACTTGCTATCAAGGCAGTAAATATTTCCTGAGTGCCAGACCCGCTCCAGGACACACAAGGTGGAGTATAGGATTGTGCCTGGGCCCTGAAACGCTTATGATGAGCTTCCCTGCGGACCCTCACTGTGCCAGCCCCCCTCTACTCCAGGACCTTTGCACTTGCTCGGTCCCATTCATGGAAAGCTCTTCCCCAGACAGCCCCCTGGCTCCTGCTCTTGCCTCCATGCCCGAGTGTCACCTTGTCATGAGGCTGTTCCTGCCTGTCCTGTGCGGGGGTGGTAAATTAGTGCAGCTGCTATGGAAAAACAGTATGGAGGTGCCTCAGAAAATTAAAATGAGAATGGCCATACAACCTAGCAATTCCACCTCTGGGTATTTATCTGAAGAAAACAAAACCACTTAATTTAAAAAGGTATGTGCATTCCTATGATCACTGTAGCATGGCTACTAACAGGCAAGATATGGAAGCAACCTACATGTCCATCAGTAGATGAAGGGAAAAAAGATGTGAATGTATATACACAATGGACTATTACTCAGCAATAATACCATTGCATTTGCGACAACATGGATGGACAGTATTATGCTACCTGAAGTAGGTCCGACAGAGAAAGACAAATACTGTATGATCTCATTCATATGTGGAATCTAAAAATTCAAAACAGCCCTAGCCAGTTTGGCTCAGTGGATAGAGCATCAGCCTGTGGACGATGGGTCCTGGTTTGATTCTGGTTAAGGGCACATATCTTGGTTGCAGGCACCTCTCCAGCCAGGGTCCTGATTGGGGCATGAGCAGGAGTATTCCTGTGTTCATTCTCTTATACCTATGATTTCCTAGGCGTCAGTTTTGTGATTAGACCCAGCGTTCCCATAAATACAAAATTTAGAGAACTTTTCTTTTTCTCTTTCATTTTGCATCAGAGGTGACACTCAACTCTCTGGTGTCAGAAGCATTTGTCAGGTTTTTCGTGGAGCTGGTGGGCCATTACTCTCTGAACATGACTGTCACTGAGCGTGGGGAGCGTGTATTCCAACGGGAGCCATTCCGAAAATCTCACACCTCCCGCAGCGTTCGCCACTTCCTGGATCTCTTCATGGAAACTCAGATGTTCGCAGGATTCATCCAGGACCGAGAGCTTCGGAAAAGTGGGGTGAAAGGTCGGTTTCCTCATGAAGTTCCCCCTCCCTATTTAGTGAGCGCTTGGAAGGTTTGGAAATAATATAAACAAAAGATAGCATAGTTGCAAGGACTCAAAATCTGAGTTGTTTATTATGGGAAATGTTTTTTGTAATGTTTTTTTAACTATGAAGATAAAAGTAATGAACACAGAGTTTTATTTAACTGATTTGCAGTCTTGAGGTTGGACAATTTCACCATGAGTTTTCCTTGTAGGTTTGTTTGAGGTCCGGGCCTTCCAGTATTTGGAAACAATTCCTGAGTCTGAACCCAGTGGGGTGAACAGAATTTTGCGGAGTCTCGGTGAGTTGCTGTATCTCCCTATTAGAAAAACGAGGCTGAGAAAAGCTTTTGCAATAAGCATGCCTCATTGCAAAAGCTTTACAATCAGATCAATGAAAAAGCACAAGTAAACTGACCAGAAACCATGACCCTTAATTCCAAAGTGTTTTGGGGCAATAGAAGTCTCTTTCTCAGAGGTTGGGATTCTCCATCAGAGTTGTCTATGGGGCCATTTTCTCAGATGATGCTCCCTTATGATGTAAAAATTTGCATGTCACAATTTTTACTCTTTTCTAGGTCACATCCCTGTGGGAACCTTATAAAAACTAGATTTTTCCCCAGAAAAATATAGTTGAAACATACAAACATTTGCATATCATTTTAGGGTGTTCATGAACCCCCTAACGTCCATCCATGGACTCCAGTTTAAAAACACCTGGCCTAGAGGACATCTGAAACAACAGAGGTTGTCCTGCAAGTCTGATTTTACACATCATAAAGCAACATGGGCCCGACCGCATGGCTCAGCGGCTGAGCATTGACCTATGAACCAGGTGGTCATGGTTCCATTCCCAGTCAGGGCACAAGCCCAGGTTGTGGGCTCCATCCCAACTGGAGGGCCTGCAGGAGGCAGCCTATCAATGATTCTCTCATCATTGATGTTTCTCTCTCTCTCCTCTTCCTTCCCTTCTGAAATCAATAAAAATATATTTAAAAAAAAAGAAATATGGTAGCTTATGATTGTTCAATTATAGTTACCTTTTAAGTTTTCCGTATGATATAGGAAAACTGTGGTGTGCTAGCCCAAAACAACGAAGAACCTTCAGCCTATGGTATTTACATTGGTTTTTGAAATATATATACCCCTGATTAAAATTAGGCCCTGTCCTTAACTACTGAGAGACTATGGACAAATTATGCCTTGGGCTGTTGTTTCATCTTTATACCATGGGGTTAGATTAGATCAGTGGTTCCCAGCTCTGACTACAGTATTATAATCTCTGGGGAGCAGGCCAGTGATTTTAACCTACAGGCAGGGCTGGAAACCACTGGATTAGATGATGTCTGAGTTCTCTTCTACCTCTGCAATTAGACCCTCGGGGGAGGTGGTTAATCACATCAACTGTTAGCTTGATATAGCAGCTTACTCCAGGGCTGTTCTGAATAACTATGTTGTTAATCCCTTGCCCCAGATAATGTACAATAAATAAAAATGAACTAATGAGAGCTCACTATACTTTTTTCTCCCTGTAGGAAGTAAAATGAAATTTCTGCAGAAGAAATGAAATCTCCCACTGCTGTCTCATCCTAAATAGGACAGAAAGTGCCAAAGAAAATATTTTTCCAAGAGTCAGGATGCCCTGAAGTATTCTACAAAATCCTTGAAAGCTGAGAAGGTTACAGAGCAGGCCAGAGTCTTGGAGGAGGATTCTCCTGCTGCTGCTTTGTAATCGCTGGAGAATTGTCGAGAGTCACGTGGAACCAATGCTCTCTTCACTCTGCCTCTTGTTGTTTTTAAGTGGCCTTTGCTACTTGATTCTTGGGCTCATTCTTTGTGTGTTGTGCTTAGGCTATAAAGGCACTTGTCTTTTATCAGGGAAAGACTTGGTGTTGCATTTTTTAAAAAGCAGCTCAAAGAGGAGCACAATGAGAGAAATGCTGAGTTCAAGGTACCAGAGAGGCATGACAGAAGTGGCTTACACTAGCCCTCTACACACAGCTCTCATCACTGAAACACACAGCACCTTTAAGCCTATGGGCTGTTCTTTGTCCAGTGTTCCGTCAAGGGGAATCTCACTTATTGGAAGCCCTATTGTTAGTCCTGTAATTGAGTACCTTGTAACAATAGACTTAATACAACTCCTCCCCCACTCTGTGTGGCACTGGAGTAGCATGTCCCTCATGGTCAACATGAAACTTGTTGGAATTATAACTAATGGGACATGTCCTTCCAAGGACATGAGAACTACCTTTTATTTTACTTTTTTAGTGTCTACTCTATGCCATGCACTGTGGTACATGTATGTATGTCATCTTAGTCTTCAAATCAACTTTTGGAGGTATTTGCATCTCCATTTTACTAGTGAAGAAACTGGAATTCAAAGGAGTTAAGTAACTTGCCCAAAGTTGTACAGTAGAGCCAGAACTAAAGCCAAAACTGTTAGTTGGTGAACACAGATAAAGTTGGTTAGTCCTGAGATGGAAATTTGAGCTGTATGGGATTGTAGCTATTGAAAAGTTTTCTTTTAAGCTGAAGTACCAGAGCCACTCAGCTCTGAGGATAAGGGCCTTCAAACTATAGATGTCTAGATGAGACTCTATTTCGGTTCTCCTAGGATTGTTGGAATTTTTGCTCTAATTAAATTGGAGTCAGGAATATGAACATTTCCTGGGACAACACCACATAATCACCCCAACCTTTAAGGTCTAAAGCTGCAGTAGTGATTGGAAAGAGGAACTTGTCAGTGAGGTATTATTACAACAAATGTCAGTTTTCTTTCTGATGATGGTTTTAATTGGTATAAAAATATTTATTCAAGCTTAACAAAACCTTACAAGGTTTATGAGGATAGTTTATTGACTTGTACAGTATTAGTTCATCCATTCAGGTATGCATGGATGAACTGAAGCAGACACCAGGTAACCGGTGCTACATAATTACTATAGATGTGGGCCCAGCAAATAGAACTGAGCCTATGTCTTTTTTAAAATGTTTATTAAGCAGCTTACCCCAGTGGGGCTTTTACCGGATGTCTCTCCATTTGGTCTCTTCTGACAATCCAACCCGAGAGATCAATCAGTAACTGGGAATTGTCTGTAAATGGGGGTGGGGGTATTATTGTGGTGCATCCTGGCCATCCCTCTGTGAGGAGACCTTTGCTTTCGGGATCGGGTCGTATTTTATCCCTGTAACTGGAGCTGCTTCCTTTCCTGAGGTCTATTTCATTTTGTTTTTGTAAAGTTTTATGAATGCTGGACATGGTTGTAAAATAATTGTTCAAGATGTGTATAAAATGTTGTTTACAGTTCTTCTAATGAATAAATACAAAAATTCCATGGGTCTCTTGGAGAATTTTAAGTAAAATTGCTTAAAATTTAAAGATCTTTTATTTCACTTAAATCTATAGCTAGCACATTTAACAGGTTAAAAGGTAATCCGATGTCACTTTTTCAGATATGATTCTATATAGAGAAAACCCTAAAGACTATCAAAAAAACTATTAGAAACAAACGAATAAAGTTGCAGGATATAAAAATCAATATACTAAAATCCACTACATAAATGACGATCTGACTGACCCGGCTTAATTACTGGGGACATTTTCAGTCACTTGAGAGACAAAAAACTTGGATTTAGATTGCACACACGGCAAGATATATTCTATTACTGGGTGTCCTAACAACGATTGGATTTTATAAATGCCCTGAAAGCAAAACGACAAAATGTTTAAAAGTTGGGGTTGGTGAGCAGTTACCAATCTCGCCCTGGTGTAGATCAGATTCCTTTTGGTAGGCAGACCCTTAAAGCTGGGGACTGGAACCCACTTCTAGAATCTGTGGAAAAAACGCATTTATCCAAAGCGCAGAATCTTAGGGCGCCGAGAATGAAGAGTGGGCACAGCGTGGAGGTGCCAGGGGAGAGGAGTTTAAGGGGAGGTGGGAGGTTAGAGGAGTAAGCCGAGTGGGAAACCAGTTTCTCTCTCTCCCCCAAATCCCGCAGCCAGCGCCCACAGAAGTGCCAAAGGATTCCCCTCCCAGATCGCGTCCTGGAGGAAAGCAAAGGTCTCCCTCCTCCACAAACCGCTGCCAGACGGAAGCATAGAAGTGGTGCAGGCCGCCGGACAGGAAATTGAGACAGTCACGTGACGTCACATCCGGCCAAAACAAAACAACGGGGCGGGGCGCGCCATCAGCATCAACAAACTGAGCATGCGCGCGTGACGTAAATCGTGGGCGACGGGCGCAGGCGTATTGAAGTGGGCCTGCGCCTGCGCAGACCAGAAGACGCCGGCGGACTGGAGGATGGCGGGCACGGGGCTGGTGGCCGGGGAGGCCGTGGTGGACGCGCTGCCCTACTTTGACCAGGGCTACGAGGCGCCCGGCGTGCGGGAAGCGGTGAGTGTGGGGGTCTGGCGGGAGGCCGGGGGCTGGGAGCGCGGCGGGCGAGGTGCTGGCCCGTCACCGGCCCCGCTCGTTCGCAGGCTGCGGCGCTGGTGGAGGAGGAGACGCGCAGATACCGGCCCACCAAGAACTACCTGAGCTACCTGACGGCGCCGGATTACTCCGCGTTTGAGGTGAGTGGGTCTGGGGCCCCGCATGGGAATCGGGATTCCCGCGGACCGTTAGTTTGGGCTGAGAGCCTTTCCACGGCCAAGTGAGTTGTAAACCCCGCTGTTAGCACTGCTTGCTTCCCTTGCACAGGAGTTACAGCCCATTGAAAGCAGCCAGGCAGGCCCAAGCCGGATTGCTCAGTGGATAGAGCGGACCAAGGGTCCCGGTTGGATCCTGGTCAAGGGCACGGACCTCGGTTGCAGGCCCGGGCCCTGGTCGGGGGGCGTGGAGGCAACCGACCGCCGTGTTCCTCTCACATCGATGTCTCCGTCTTTCCCTCACTTCCGCTCTTCCGGAAAGATCCATGGAAAACTAGCCTCGGCTGAGGATTTTTCAAAACCGGCTAGATAGATAAGCCTTCTGCTCTGGGGTTCTTATTCTGAGACCCCCCAAACTTTGAGAAGCTCCGAAAGTGCAAAAACTAGTGAGAATGTGTTTGTGAGATTCCTGTGTTAATTCTCAGCGGGGTGGGGTCCTCCATGCTCTGAGGTCCCCTCTGAAGTGAGCTAGGGTTTGAAATGTAGACAGACCTAATGACCTCAGGTCCTGAGCACCACTGGCCGGTGGTAGCCTTTGTACGAAGCCTAGTTGTTTGCAGAATGTGAAGGAGGCGACCAACCATATCTACGTGATACACGTTTACATATTTTGTACGCCCAAGATATTTAGGGTCTAATGCGCAAAATTAAATGTAAAATGTTACTCTTAATTAATGGATTCTGTTAGGCATTTTAACACATACATGTTTGGGGTTTCCCCCCGTTATAGGTAACCATTTATTTATGAAAGAATTCTAACACTAAAATGCAGTGTTTATATTGAAGTAATTTGAAAAAAAATACTATCTTTTTAAAAATACATTTTATTGTTTTTGTTTGTTTGTTTTTTTTACAGAGAGAAGGGAGAGGGATAGAGAGTTAGAAACATTGATGAGAAAGAAACATTGATCAGCTGCCTCCTGCACACCTCCTCCTGGGGTTGTGCCTGCAATTAAGGTACATGCCCTTGACCGGAATCTAACCTGGCACCTTTCAATCTGCAGGCTGATGCTCTATCCACTGAGCAATACCAATTAGGGCTTGGCTATTTTACCAGTAAGTAGGAGACACATTTTCCCTACTTACATTATTTTTCCATCGTTTTTCTAAATATTGTTATCCAAATATAGATATTACCACATCAAGAATTAAGTACAGTAATGCTTTCTTAGTAGATTGATTTTTGAAAGTTTCAGAGATTGCATTCCATCACAAACATGTAAATATTTGAATCAGTTTTTTAAGCTCACTAAAATACAACATACGCTTCCTAGCTTTATAATTAGTATTCTGATTATTTAATCCTTTTTAATAATAGGATCTGGTAGTGTACTGGGCTTATTCTCTGTCTTAAAAATAGCCCTGTGAACTGTATAATTACGTTTATTATCGCAAATTTCTTAGATGAGAAAACTGCAGCTTAGAGATGCTAACTAATTTGCTCAAGACCTTAACCACTTCGCAAAATGGCTTGAAATTGCCCTTTAATGCATTTAACAACTATTGGTGAAGGTTTTTCTGTGCCAGGAAAAGGGGCACAGGATAGCTAAGGTCTATACTCATGGAGGTTACATTCAAGAGTGTGAGCACAGACAAATAAGTCAGCAAATATTAGATTATTGATAAAGCTGTACAAAGAATTAAAGTAGTTATGTCTTCTTCACCACCAGATCTTTATCACTTAGAACTCTGCCTGGTACACAATGAGCACCGAGATATTTAAAGAGCTTCTAAGGCAGTTTTATGCAGTGAGTGCTTACTAGTGCCAGGCACGCCTAGTGCTTTTTCATAAATCAGCTCCGTGAGAGTTGGCTCAGTCTTTGCAGTGAGTTGAGTTCAGATTCCAAATCTCTCTCTCTCTCAGTGCCATGTGAGTAGGTAAGAGTTCCTACATTAATGGCTCAGATTGCTTGCTTCATTTTTATAGCTTCTCTCTTATCTCATTGTTGGTGGTTTTCCTTGTCTGTCCCTGCATATCCTCTAGCTAGAATTCCCTGTATTTTCTAGATAACTATATTTTCTTAGAGCTTTGTGTAACTCAGCAGTAGTAAGGGGAGAAAAAGGTTTTCTCTAATAAGAAATGCCTAATGGAGCCCTAACCAGTTTGTCTCAGTGGATAGCGCTTCAGCCTGGGGACTCAAGGGTTTGATTCTGATCAAGGGCATGTACCTTGGTTGCGGGCACATCCCCAGTAGGGGGTGTGCAGGAGGCAGCTGATCGGTATTTCTCTTCATCAATGTTTCTAACTCTCCCTCTCCCTTCTCTGTAAAAAAAAAATAAAAAAAAAAAAATCCATAAAATATATTTAAAAAGAAAAAGAAAAGAAATGCTTAATGCAAAACTTATAAACCGGGAATGTGGGCTGCCGGCAGGCTCCCCCTCCCGGGCCTAATTGTTGAGAAAGTTGCAACCTTCAAAAATGAAATTATGTGGGATGACTAAATATTTCACTTACTCAGTTCTTTATATTCAGTGCTGGAAATATGCAGACCAAATGGAGTAGAATATTGATCAAAACATTGGACCCAAAGAAACAGTTATAATTTTTTTTGGAAAACAGTAAAATTGTTAGACCATAGCAGGAAACAGGTTTTTTTGTTTGTTTTTGTTTTGTCCGTTTCCCCTTCATTCTTGGGAAAGAGTAAAGTGTAAAAATAGCAGCCAGGACCAAAAGAGAAACTGTAGACTTCGGTTCATAGCCTCACAGCAAATCATTTTATGTCCAAGCCCTCTGTTCCCCACCCCCAACGAATACTTAGATCGTGATTCCTGACACAGGCTTTACTGTACAATTGGCTGGTGAATTAAAAATCACAATCACGTCCAGTCTCCACTTCAGGCAGTTAAGTGGACTGCGGGAAAAGTGGGATGTGGCTGAGACTGGAATTGTTTTCAAAGCGCCCAGCTGATTCTAGTCTGCTGCTGGGATGGAGAACCGCTGACCTCGGGTATCGGTCCTTTAGTAGGAAGGTGTGCCTGTCCTCAGATTCTAAAGAGCAGTTAACCCGCTAAGGCTGTGAGAGGGTGATGATCCATTATCACGGATCATATAAAGGACAAGTGAGTAGGTTAGATTCATTATTTGGTGGTTAATTTTAACTTGTTGATATGGTTTTGGAAACAATTCTTTCTCTAATTTCTACCCAACAGACAGACATAATGAGAAATGAATTTGAAAGACTGGCTGCTCGACAACCAATTGAATTGCTCAGTATGAAACGGTAAGTCCTGTTTCTGGAGTCAGCTGGGCTCAGATCATTCTTTACTTTCATCTTAATTTTTTTGTAAAACTACTATAGCTGTGTTAAAACAAATATTGGAAGGGGAAAATCCTTTTCTGTTTATGTATTTTCCCCCCATATAGTAGTAGTTCATATAATCTTGTGTTAATGTTCAAAGATAATCCTTTTTTTAATCCTCAGCCGAGGATAGGTTTTTTTGATTTGGGAGAGAGAGAAAGAACATCATCCATCAGTCGCCTCCCACACGCACCCCAGCCACGGATGGACCCACAATCCGGTCCGAGTGCCCTGCCCGCCTCTGCTGTGGGAGATGCTCCCACCTCTTGCAATGCCCCGTGGGCAGTAGGTTGTGAGGGAAACTCAGGAAGGCGTCACGGCGCCTGCCTTGTCAGGACGTGGGACAGAAATGTCAGAACGCATTGCATCTAAAGGTAAGTATTGCTTT